GTTAAAGTCCTAATATAAACCGCATACGCAATAGTAACCGCACCCCCAATTGTAATAAATTTCCTTGTCATTGTCTTCATCCGTTGCAAACTTCAACCTATCTGGCATTTTGAGATAGATGAATTATTTTTAATAATGTGAGTGACTGTATTTTTATAGTTTGCTGGTTAAAAAAAACACCAAAAATAAATTTCAGTAAAATACTTTGCCCTATGCAGGCTCTAAAACCTAGCAAAATGTTTTCAATCTGCCACATAACATGAACAGTTATATTCTTTTTATTGACTTAATAAATCTGTAATTGGGTTCAAGAACAAATTTATTGAATTGTAGAAGTTGAAGCTCAAATTTCATGCGTTTGAGTATGCAAAAGACATACAAGTACAGTATGCAAGTTGGGATATGCAAATTGAAACAAAGATCCCACCAATAGACCAAGCATGGTGCACATGGCTGTCATTATGTTAAATCTACACTGTAAATAATGAGACTGATATCCAGGATTTGGTGTTGATATGAAGCTTGCGTTAAAATTTGCCTGGTTAATTTTATATTTTAAGTTTGTAGGTAACCTGAGACATCATATTTGAAATGCTTATTCTGATGGGACTACAGTATGTGGAGATATTAACTGGATTTATTTGTTTTTTATTTCAGAAATGTTATGAACAAAAGCAATACAAGAATAGTTTAAAATTTGCTAAGGCAATTTTAACTAACCCCAAATACTGTGACCATGGCGGTAAGAGCATTTTATTTCTATTTCAGTGATGGACAACCTTTCTACATCTTCGACATTGTATATGTGATTATGTCAAAGAGACCATATATGTTTACCTCAGGCACTGAAGGTTGTAATGTTCCGCCTGCCTGGTAGGATAATGCTACACAAACAACACTGAGTGCGCGTTCATAAAATAGATAGATAGATAAAATAGATAGATAGCTGATTGGGTGACGCGAATGTCAAACGCCCACTCTATTTATAGCAAATGTCGTAAACAAAATCACCTGACTGGCGCCATTTTCAGTTCTCGATGTAAGTGTGCGTCTCGGTTTAGACTGTTGTGTGTAACTGTTCATAAAATTTGGCCATGATTGCTAAGAAAAAGCTGAAATTAGCCTTTAAGACTATTACAGAAGTTGAAGTGAGTCTCCCTCCGATAGAGGCAAACATGTTTTCACATCATTTTTAGTGCGGATCCCACATGACCCAGTTCTAGATGAACAGTTGGGGTTTTCCTGTATAAGCCATTTTGAATCTGAAAACTGTTACAATCTATTATTAGACTCAACTCAAATAATTCAGGACCACAAGTCTAGTTTGTCTTCAAAGTTGAAAACTGACAATAGTTGAGAGTAATATTAGTTGTACACCAATTACAGAAGATAAATACTCATTCCAGCCAGAGAAACAGTTGCATGTTGACGCTTGAGCTGTTTGTATGTTAAATATTCACTTTTTTTTTTTTACTAATGTTTATTACTTGGATTCACAGAAACTTTGGCTATGAAAGGTTTAACTATGAACTGCATGGGGAGAAAAGAGGAAGCTTATGATTATGTGAGGAGAGGTTTACGTAATGATTTACAAAGCCATGTATGTTGGCATGTGTACGGTTTATTACAACGATCAGATAGAAAATATGATGAAGCGATCAAATGTTACAGAAATGCATTAAAATGGGATAAGGTAATTCATTTTGTTCATGCAGTATTCATATTTACACTCTCCCATCGATCAGACAGATATGACATTGTGTTTGTACTTTATTTTAGCTGATCCAAGGTTGAAATTTATAGGTGATTGCTGAGAAGTCCCCCTCGAATATCTTGATAACCAATTTGAATACTTTCTTCTGCAAAAAAGATTCAATAAAATTCTTCACAATTTCAATTGGTTTGTAGTATTTGACCTTGATATTCAATGCCCTCAGAAATAGTGAATTTGAATCCCTTTTCACCATGATATGCTTTACTGATGTTTGCATTAATGTTTATGGCCATGATCAACAACTTTGTGTTTTTGATTTTCTATCTGTTGCACCTCAACTGGACCAGCCATCAGAAGGAAATACATAGTCTGTTATAAATTTGTAGACTTGACTATTCTATAAATGTACATCATTTGAAATAATTTGTCGCCCCTGTTGTGTTTCAGGACAACATTCAGATTCTAAGAGATTTATCGTTACTGCAAATACAGATGAGGGATTTGGAGGGATACCGGGTAAGTGTTAATTAGACTAAAAAAAGCATTTCAACAGAAGATGTCAAACTAATAGTGGGGAACTCGGACACATCGCAATATAAATATAAATAGATATATTTTAATAAATCTTGTATATTTCTTATATTTGTTATGTATTTACACAGTATGAAATGTCCGGACACAGGTGATAGTGTGTCTGGTGCATGTCATTTTAGTCAAACGGCACACCCTTGTAACTGGTTTGAACTAACAATTTCTAATCACGTATCTATCTTGAGACGCGCATAACAAACCAGTTGGCAACTAAGCTGGCAATGTTGATGTTTTGGTGTTCGTAACATTATGGCGGTGACAGTAACAGTAATCAAACTGGACAGATGTGCATCTAATTCTGAAAGAGTTCATTATGTCATCAGTAGTAGATGGTGGTGGAAGTGTCTCCGTTAGACATTCAGTAATTTAGTATATAATATAGTGAACTTGTTCCATTATGCAAGAAAATGATTTTTGTGAATTTCGCAAGTGTGTGTAAATTACACAAATAAGTGAAGACTTGCACTGGGTTTTGAAAAATGCTCTACACTTACCATGTTTTCCTTTTGTTGTCTGAAACTCTTATTTTAGTTGTATAACTGCAAGTTTCATAACTTAGAGGAAATCCAGGTTTTGATTTATACTAAGTTTTGTTTCAACTATGAATTTTTTGTTTGTACTCAGGAAACACGGTTTCAGTTATTACAGTTAAGACCAGCACAGAGAGTATCCTGGATTGGATATGCTATGTCACATCATCTCAGTAAAGAATATGACATGGCATTGAGGGTGCTGGAAGAATTCAGAAAAACCCAAACTGTGAGTCAACCTTTGTTTTAATGTCAAATGTGTACGAGGTATGTTAACCTCTTTGTCCTATAAATTGTTACCATGTTAAGTTAATCCAAAATGATAGGATTTGGTGTTTGGTATTCACAGGACATCCTAGGTGTTTCAAACCTAAACATTTTTAAAATTATCTTAGACTGGTAGATATTGTGAAAGAAAGGTGTAACTATTTTGAAAGCATCAAAACATTCAGGTGGACATCCAGCTAAATGGTTCTTTGTGACTGTGATGAATTTTGAGCTCTGCAAGTGTGAAAAATGAATCTACAAAATCTAATTACTGGATTGCAGTTTCAATAAGAAGTGTTTTGAGATTAGTCTCAGTTTTCTCACAGATTGAAGTAATCTCCTAATAGTGTATTTCAGTAAAGTTGATACAAGATTAAATGAAGAATTGAGGAAAGCTTTAATATTGTCAATGAACCTTAATGCAAGTCATTTTTTTTCCAGATCAGATTCAAAATAGCAGACTGGTGGCAGTTTTGTTTTAATGAATGCTTTCCTATAGCCATATTTCTGACAGCCCTGAGTGTTCATGTTTTATTTTATATGTACATAAATTCTTCATGTCCCCCCCATATTTACATGTTTTGTTTGATGATTCTATCTAAGTTGGCCGAATGACGGCCATTTTAATGTTTCATCAAAATAAAACATTTCTGCCATTTTGGATCATTGTTGTATATACATATATATATATATTTATGGATTTCATTCAAACTTGGTAGTTTGATTTTTATAGGACCTTGATGCACATTATTTTGTTTCTCAGATCATATTCAAATTGGCTGACTGGTGGCTATTTTGTTTTATTAATGCCTTCAGAGTCCTCATGTTCAAGCTTTATTTCCTAAACTTGATAACTCTCTGAACTTTGTAATGTAGTTACTTGTTATACAATACGTGTTATTGTTGACTTAGAATATTCACTTGGTTTTAATTTAATGCATTTTTAGATATCAACATAATAATCAAAAATTAAACTAATAATTAAGCATTATATAGTTATTGGAATTTGGATTTTGTTTTTTTTTTCAGCCAAAGCCGTACGATTATGAACATAGTGAATTGCTGCTTTATCAAAATGAAGTTATGAGAGAATCTGGAATGTTCAATGAAGCTTTGAACCATCTAGAAACGTATGAAAGACAAATTTGTGACAAACTAGCTGCCAATGAAATAAAAGGTAACTGTTCTGTATAATTTGTTTCATGATCTATTTTTGCTTTGGTTTTTATCATATCTAGAAAGGAACAGGGAGTTTTGGAATTGGGTAAATATCATATGTATGATGGGATGACCTCTACCCAAATTAATGGCTGAACCTGTTAATTACAGTGGGTGTCCTGAACTGCTAGCTTTTACTTGAATTTTCTTTACAACATTGCAATTTATTTGTAAGTGGTGTCACTTTGCCCTAAAATGCTGGAAAGTAAAAACAATGTTTGACGGGGTATATGTATTTATCCACAACATGGTACAATGTATATCATGAAATATCTGTGAAAAGAGATTGTACACAGTTGTAATTTGAATATCAATGAAACAATGTCTACTGATGTTCAGTCATATCTACAGCTCAATTTAAATTGTTGGTTATGTTAATTATGTTAAATTATTAAGTCATTTTGTTGGGATTAAAACATCGCTAAGAATGTTCCAAGGCAGATAGCAATTTTCATGATCAGTTTATTTTAGCACCCACTGTAATTATTTCATCAAAGTTCTCTATTAATGTTCTAGACAGAACACTTTTGCAAATGGTACTCTCATGCAGACAAAATATTTATACCTGTATTGTGGTATTCCATGTAATCAGGAGTTGGCATGTAAGGTAGTGGTATAAAATACTGATGAAAACACCAATATGTATACATGTGTCATATTGTCACATGGAACCCATATAGAACACTATTCAAGGTGTTGCTTTATAATAGGCATAGATAGTGTATTTTAATGATCAAAAATAAAAGATGTTTTGTATCAACTCATTTTGCTTGTTTCAGGTGCGCTATGTTTACGGCTTGGCAAGATGAAAGAAGCTGAATTAATTTATCGTGATTTAATTGCAAGAAATCCTGAAAACCATGAAAACTATCGTCGGTTAGAAGAGGCGCTAGGTTTAAGTAACGACGATGCACGGTACAATATGTACAAACAGTTTAGAAGTATATATCCACGTGCTGAAGCACCGCGAAGACTTCCACTAAATTTTACTTTTGGTATGTATTCAGCATTGAACCTTCCTTCTGAGAAGGATATCCTTAGAATGTAACCCAAGAATTTCTGTGTATAAAGACGTTAATTTATTTCTCTGCAGTTTTATCATCAATAGACCATTTTCCGTTCACTGCGAGAATCACGCATTATGCGTGAAATCGAATGTAAAAACAGGACAAACAAAGGTCATAGTGTCATAGTGGCGTCAAACATCGCGTGGGATTCGACAAACGCGAAAATATTTTGGTGGCATTTCCATGCTTAATAATGTGCTGTACACATTTGATGATAGAAAATTTTGATTAAGTGAGGGTATTCGAAAGCAATATTCCTCTGTCGAAGATTGGCTGGTCGATGTGAGCTACGAAATAAAGATCGTTCAAATTTTTGCAGCAGACGTTCGATGCGCGTCTTTCATGCATCTCGCGAGATCTCGCAGTTGAACGGAAAATCATCAATTAACCCGTTAAATGACAGATATTTCTCCCACCAAAATTTCAGTTCAAATATTTTCACTTTTTGTTAAATTTTCACGAAATTTCATCATCATGTTGGACCATATGATTACTTTTAATTTTTGATCAAAAGGGTTGTCAATTTATATAAACATTTCATGTGGGAAGGAGCAGACTACGAAATCATTTTGTAGATGGTGCTAAAAGTTGGCAAAGGCATTCAAAAGTTTAATATACTTTTTGTTGTATGTTCTCCAATTATGTCAGTAACTTGTAGCGTGTTAAGTAGGTTTCTGATTTGTATAGTCAGCCTAATAAATGTGACATTTTCATGATTCCAGGGAGTTTCAAACATTTATATTAATGTGGGTATATTTGAATGAAGCATTTTGTGATTATTGATTAACTGGCTACAAACCAGATAAAAGTTGCATGTATTACTGATGCCCGTAATTCATCTAAGGGAACTGATCATTACCACCAAGCCGGTTTCCTGTGAGTCTCCCGCGGCGTGCGTTTCTTTACCGTACCAA